GAGGGAGGTCAACAGTGATCACTGACTGTTTTAGGAGCTTTTTGAGATCAAATAGAAGAAAATACAAAACATTAAACATGTTAACAACACAAAAGCCATATTAAACGCAGACTACTTTAGACCCGGAAGTAGGATTCGTCGCGTCATCACTGAACAACTGGATAGTATGGCCATAGAGTGTATGAAGGTAGCATTGTGGTCCAAAGCTCACTGGTTTTGATTGTTTTGTCCACTGCCATTTGGCAACTTTGGAGCAAGAAGGGACCATAACTTGACAGAAGTGTGGAGCACTGAGTTACCGCCTAGCACTGTCAAGCTTGGTCACCAAGCTGCATTAATCTACACCATGTGAAGACACAAGACAAAAGACTCATAAAAGGTTAGACTTGTATGTTTTTGAAGTGTTGTTCTACCTGGCTGTCTGAATGCCCACTCTTCCTCCGCATCCAAATGAACTACTCCTGCCCGGGCTGGGTCTGAGGGGAAGAAAGCGTGGCCTACTGCTCCACCTGCCCCATCAAAGGGGTAGTCATCACCATGGTAACCATGGAAGAAGTCTACCCGCAGGTCAGCTGCATCCGGACTGCCCACCTGGAAACAGAATGAATGAAACTCATTGACTGTGTGACAGAATGGCTAGTTCTAGTCAAAAGTGGCATCTGACAAACCTCATGGAACTCCAGTGGCGTTGGCTCGGCCCACACTCTTAAAGCGTAGAAGATAAGTGAGCGAACTGTTTCCCGAGACAGATGAGAAGAGGAGGGATATGATTGCAACCTGACGAGGTAAGATAGACGCAAAGACCTCACCGAGTGGCAGATACTTCACCAAGCACAGCTTACTGACAATAGGAAGCCATTGTGAACTACTACATCGAACTGATCACAGTCTCCTCGCAAGTTTTATCCCACCTCCAGTTGATGTTCCTGCGCGTCCATATGGAGACAGCCCATCTTCTCCGCCTCCTCATATTTATTTTCTCTTGGTTGGATGATTCCTCCTGGTCCGGTAGTGAGCAGCGTGGCGTGTTCATCACCGCCATTGTCTCCTCATCTGGACACCAGAGAACAGACTCTATCCAATCACACAGAGAACACTAGATTTGAGAAGCAGCATAAACATCTTTTTAAGACACCATCTGTATTCCTCACCTACAACTCCGCTGTCTTTTAGGCCTGCAAACCTTTGCATGGCCCTCACAGCACTGGTGACACCTGTCCAAGCCTGCAGCTGACCGGTGGAAGGGTCTGAGGGTGGGAGGTAACCATACTTCATCAGCCAATCCTAACAAAGGGGGTAAATGATATCTTTAACAGGGTGTTCTTCTTCCATTTCTATCCTGCAGTCCTGTATCTATATTATATATAAAGCTCACTACCAATGTAATATATGAGAGAGTTGGTAAAGATATTATTAATTTCCCATCAATAGTTGTATGGTTTCTATTACCACAAGTTTGGAGCTCTCATCTTGAGTGGGTGTCACTGGTGCAGAGGATGGTGACAGAGTCACACTAGCAGCACAAGTTGTTTGCATCCATCCACAGCTCAAGCAGAGGAAAGTCATATACATCTTCATCTTGATTACATGTTTTTGGAACTGAATATTCAGTGGAAAGCAGTATTTTCAGTGTGTGGAAATCCACTGGAAATGAAGCAAAGGCATTTTAAAACATTAAAGACAACGATACAGACAGGGCAGCAAAAAACCCTAAAGCCCGACATTTAAAGAGTTTTCCTTAAGTTATCCAAAGTAAACAAAAATATTTTAACATTTTGCACAGTGGTACAGAGGGTGGCTTGACACGGACACAAGGTCGGGTGCAGTGGTTAGTTCTGTCGCCTCACAGCAGTCACAGAAGTTTGCATTCTTTGCAGTTATTAAAATAGAAAAAACACTATATTCTCTTAAAAGGCCGCAATTCATTTGTGTCCTCTGTGAAGGACATGAACCTCTACATCAACCAGAATCTATGCAATCTGAGTCCTACTGTGGTGTCGAGGGGACACGCTGGGCTTTTATTGATGCCACATTTTGGGGGATTGGGCTAGTAGAGTAATAACAGAGTTCTTTTCCAAATGAAAAGGCACTGGAGGTCCCACATTTCAGATTAAGTGATATGATATCCGGTCGTTCAGTCTGACGTCACTAGCCGTGTCTGGGTCTAAACTCCGCTGCAGGTCCATATATCAAACGATCACTATGGCATTACTGAGAGTTGAAAAACGGTCTAAAGTCTTTCATCTTTAATAAAATGATCAGCGTTCTGCTCTACCAGGTGTAACAATTGTGTTTAACATCCAGGCATCCATGAAAACGGAATTTATGACATTTAACGGAGTTAGAAGTTAGCAGGAAGTTAGCTCGCTAGCTTCTATCTAAATACAATATAGCATGTCCTGACTGCGGGGTTTTGGAAACAAATTAAAACGTACAGCTCTGTTATCACTTCCAGCATAAATGAAGACAGAAACTAAACAGCAGTGACGTTTGTATCATCCATCCACAATACGAGGTTAGTCATTCATATACTGCTGCATGGGCTGGGCTGTAGTTACATCCTAAGGTTTTAAAAACTGAGCTTAAATAAATGATTAGCGGTAATAAAAGCCGAGGGAGGTCAACAGGGATCACTGACTGTTTTAGGAGCTTCTTGAGATCAAATAGAAGAAAATACAAAACATTAAACATTAACAACACAAAAGCCATATTAAACGCAGACTACTTTAGACCCGGAAGTAGGATTCGTCGCGTCATCACTGAACAACCAGATAGGGGTCTACCTACAATATAAAGCACCTTGAGGTGACTATTGTTGTGATTTGGAGCTATGTAAATAAAATTGAATTTAATTGAATATTATAATGAACCCTCAAATTGTTTCTTCAATATTGTCATGGTCCACGGCCTGGCGTCCGGGGTGCTGATGGGATGCCCACGCCCGTGGGCGTGGCTGCTAACCCCACACCTGCATCCCATCCCAGGCGATCACCAGGTGGACTATTTAATCCTGCCCTACCTGCTGCTCCACGCCAGTCCGTAGCCGTCGCTCAACGGTAACGCACACCTGTGGGAAAGCCCTTATGAAAACTTATCCGTCTGAACTACTCTGCCCTGTGTACTCAGATCACAACTCGGCGTGTTGTGAGCCACCTGCCTGTCCGCCTGCCCGTCTGAGATTTGGATCACGATCAGCACCCGCCGCCTCAACCCTTTTGGTTCTGCTTCTGGGTCCAGCTTGTGCGCGGAACCTCGGTTCATGACAAATATTAGATTGTTATCTTCAATTTAGTAGAATTTCAGAAATGTGCAGTAATGTTAACACTTTTGAAAGAGAACTTTTATTCAGTGTCCTTTGTAGTGGACAGAGGAATTACTAACTCTGATTTGTGAATGAGATTTTAAAGGATTTCACTCAGTTTGTAGGCAGGGAGTCAGACAAATAGCTGTCCCGGGATGGTGAAAGGTCAGAGGACACACTGGTATGTTCTGCACTCATCTTCCATTATGTATAAGAAGCAATGTGTAAGCTAGGCCTTGGAGGTTTTTTCATTAGAGTTCAACTCTTTTGAAATTGGGTAGAAAGACTTTTTAATGAGAAAACAGATCAACTACAAACCAGAGGGAGGTGCTCGTCTCTTAAAATTGAAAGCATCATTCAGCATATCTGTATATGTGACATGACTCGGATTATCTTGGGTCCTAGTTATAGCCAGGACCCGGTGTATAACTCAGCATCTGGCAGTCAGTCAAAGTCACGAGTCATCTTTATGTCTCGGGTGAGAAAGAAAGAATGTCCTCTGGCTGGTGATGCAACAAGGCTGCATTAATGAGACCAACTAAAACCTTTTTCTGGGTCTCAGAAGGATACAAAGATGAGTACATTACATTTGCACCTGCAATGTAATAAAATATAAGAGAATAATGCCTGTCCCAGTGTGCTTCACATCCACCACCATCATCATAGTCCCAAAGAGGACAGCTGCTACCTGCCTGCATGACTGCTGCCCATGGCGCTCAATCATCATGAAGGTTATTCATGGCACGTCTCTGGATGCTGTGCAATTTGCACTCCAGTCTAACAGATCCACTAAAGAGTTACTGGTAATCTGGCATGCCCAGTGTGCTGATGTGTCAATATCATTTTTTGGTCGATATAGTTACACAGGCCACAGACTGGATTGAAGGTCTGCTGTGCACTGGCCCTACAAGCACTGACAGCAGCCCATCCATTCATTTTTATCGGTGACACTAGATTACCCAATCAAATCTCTTCATGCAACCAGGCCCTTCCCAACCTTCCCTGTGTGGTGATGCACGTCCTGTGGCTACTTTTGCTACTGCTAGAAAGTAAAGTGCAAAAACTGTCACAGAAGAACAGGAAGCACACTGTGACACTCCAAGTCACAATAGCACGGACGCGTTAAAGCAGTGAGTAAAAGAAGCTGATGGGAAACGTAGTATATTCCCACAGGGTGGAGAAACCTACCAGATTCAATCACGAGATGGACGAGAATTACCATAAAATACAGAGGGGAGGGCATGGTGCCCTGCCGTATAGGACACTGCTAGATATGTGTGTGCCCATGTCAATCAGAAGATGCCTCCATTAATTAACCCCTGGGGCTACCTCAAAATCCCACCCTTTCGTGAACCTCGGGACCAAAAAATGGTCCCAGGTTGCCCCAGGGGTTAAGTTAGAGGGTGTACCATTTCAGTTAGAGCACTGGGGCAGAGAAGGAGGAGGGAGGATGAATGGAGGACAAGGCAGCTTTAAAGTAATGAGATTAAAGCAGCCACAAGAGTAGAGGGCGAAGGTCGAAGGAGCCGACTGTCAGAAAGAACATTCTGAATTAAACAAGCTGGACATTAGAGGAACTGCTTTGGTGGCAAATCACGTTGCATCAAAGCAGCTGATCAGGTAAAGTTCATGCTCTAAAATGTAAGTGCATACATTTTTGTCTTAACCCCAAAGCTGACTTATTTTTGCATTTCACAGCGTTTGAGCTGCATTCAGGACTTTTTATGTTTCTTATTTGGTCTCTTGTGTTAATAAAGGTGAAAAACGTGGTGTCATTTCAGCCTCTTGCAGGCACAAAGACACAGTAGCATTTACTTGGAGTTCTATGTCTGGCCAACTGGTTGAGTCCAGCTATACAAATATCTGCCTCTGCCAACATGCGCATGTCAGGTCAGTTTTAACTTATTGTATTACTGGAAATTACAATTATAATTGCGATTTGGCTGTTTCTAATATTACTGTTTGATTTTAAGTAGTGACCTGGGTCACAGGGATCACAGGATCCCCCCCCCCCCCTCATTTCTACATTTAGGAAAGGGTTAGGAAGCATTTCAGAAGAATTTACAAACAGAATAATCCGTCTTATTTAGAGGCCTCATTTTAGTGGCTGATCAAAATCTTCTGATTAGACTTATCTGTAATCCTGACTGAAGTCAGGCTTTAAATGAAAAACAGAGTTTGGAGGAATTCGAGCAGCGGTATTGGCACAGCTGTACAGTAATTCAGGCTGTGTATTAGTCCCTGCACATGTAATATTGTCACCATCTGACAATGAAACCTAACATCTCACACCACTGACCACGGCACATTCATTCATTACATTAAGTTACACTAACTCCAAATTTAGTCTGAAAGCTGAATCACAGCAAGTTAAAGATGAGAAAAGTGCTTTTAACACTTACCTTCCTGCTGCTCTGCCTTCTGCTTCTCCCTGCTCTCTCTTCATTTGCCACAATGGGAACAGATGGGTCCTTTCTACTCTCCTGCTCGTTTCCTCAAAGCCTGACTCCTAACCCCCACCCCCTACCCCACCCACTGCCACAGCAGCATGACAAATGAAGAGTTTCATCTTTGCAGAAATATCTTCCTTCCTCTATCCCGAGATTGTGCCTTGGTTTTTCCCAACTTGTTTTTCCTCCTATCAGTCAGTTATTTGCCCTCAGTACACAATTTATGAACAAAGAAAATCTGATTTGAAAACAATTCGTTGTGGCACAATACTCTGTGAGTGCAGAATGCAACATTTGACTCGTGCAGGATTAGTGATGCACTGTAAAGATGGGTTTAGACACATGTGTGTGTGCCTTTGCATGTGTGCAACATCTGCATGTTTATGTGTATCTTCTCTCATGATGACATTTTTACACACAATCCTCTTAACATGAGGATTAAAACAAAACCAAGACAGATTTGTGGCTCCCTCTCGTTCTGCTGCAGCTTTTTCCTTGTGTTTCTTCTTTGTGTTTAATCCACTGAACTGGTGGGAGGGGTGGTCTCATGTTGGCCTCTTTCTTTAAATGCAACTGATATCCTACTGTTCATGTCAATGAAAAAAGCATGAACTGCACTAAGCCATGTTCTCCATATTCTTGTCAATGCTAATGTTATTTCTTCCATTGGTGAGTCCCCTTCATGTGAACCCTGCACCATCCTGCTGGGATCATGAAGCTCAATCTAATCTGGTCTTTCTCTGCTGAGAGAAAAAAGCTGCAACTAGAAACACGTGTAGGACGAATGCAGTGTGTTTTCAGGAAACCTGATTCCTGTTATGTGTGTCTGTAGCAGAACAGGCAGATCCAGTGACGGACTGATGCTCAGGACTGACCGTTCTCTGCTCTTTGACTTCAATTTCTTAGACTGAAGTACATTTGTCACGGGTGTGCTGACACACAGGATGCATAGCCAGCAGTGATGGTGCATGTCATTCATGATGTTCATGAACATCATTAGTGGCCTATCCCTGGTCAAAACCACTAAACGAGTCTACAGATGCCCTCGCTGTAGGGGCCAAATGTTCAGGCCTAACTAGCATTAGTCAAATGCTCATTTCAGGCTCCTTTTGAACCGTCTCATGTAAACTGTTATACTTGCTTTATGCTTTCTGTTGCTTTCTGTGCTCACGTCACAGCAAAGTCAAGCAGTGTTTTCAGTGGGAAACATTAAGTAATTTAAAAAGACAGCTGCTGATGAATTACTGTAACAACTTAACAACAACTTTCATCTCTGTCTTCACCAGAACCTGTTGGTCTTCATGGGTCCTGGGTTATATGTGTGTGTTTGTGTGTGTGTGTCATTTTTCTGGGTATTTAATTATAAAAATTACAGCAAAGACTGAGTGAATCGTCCTCCTGGTGTACAAGTAGAACATGACTCATGAACCAAGAGAACCAAGTCACTCCCTCATCTAACTCATCACTCTTCTGCACTTCCATGGGTTCAACTTCTGCTCGCATCCTCACACACCTCACTAATGCTCAAGGATCGCAGCCATCAATGAGCACATTGAGCAATGTCAACTCAGACAGTATTCCTGTTCAAACACTGGCCAGTCAACCAGTTTTGTGACTGAACGTTGCACCCCAACAGTGAATCCTCTGTCAAAGACCTTTACCTCTCATTATGAGAAAGATAGTAAAATGTTTTACTAATTATTTTTCCCTTTCTTTGTTGAACAAAATGTCCTTCGCTGCTTCTTTTATTGCAATACGATACGATTGGTGTGATGCAAATTTTGTGTGAACTGCAAATAAGAATGCAGTTGCATGTAAGACATGCTTTTCTTACATGCAAATGCATGTAAGACATGCTGAGGAATGCAGTTGTTTATAGGATAGTAACACAGCAGAACAAGAAGATATTTAAACTGAAGTCAACACCGTCAGGAGAGGACAATAACTCACATTCCTAATGGATCCTGTCTCTGTTTTTAATTGTGGACAGCTTCTGGCTTTGAAAAGTTGCCTTGAACCTGCGTTCTTTTTAATTACCAGCAGGGGGTTAGCTACTGTGGCAGCCAAAAGAATCTCGCTTGTATAGACCTACAGGGGAAAACAACGCTAAGCTCCTTTATTCTATGATCGCAGTTACTTTCCTGGTGGGCTCATGGCTTCAGTTGCTTGTTTCAAGGGTTACTGAGTACATCATGAAGCTGATTTTGTAAAATATGGTCTCCTTTAGCTGCTACAGTATATGAGAGTGCACTGTCTGTGATATCCACGTCTAAAAAGCTAAGATTACAGTACAACAACTGTTCTAGTCCTGGTTAGTTACAGCATATGGTACTCCAGCTTAAAACACTTTTGCAGTCAGAAACATTACCATATATATTTCCATACAGGGATAAACATGTGGATAATTTACAAAGAAAGTCAGATTTTAAACTTTTTATTCCTTGTGTGTTTTTGTTCACTGTTTAAGGGGTAAATGAAAATAAAACTGCTCCTCAGTCACCGTGACAACAGCCTATTTCCCGATAAATGCAGCTGCTGGGAGGTGTCAAAGGTCACTCTGGGGTAATGGGTGATGGATGATGGGTGGGGGGATCTTGGTAAATATGTGAATGGGGCTGTGTGTGGTTCATCTTGCTGTTACCCGTAGTGACAGAAACGGCCCTTTTTGGTGTGCATGGTGTCTCTGTTAACTTGTCTGAATGAGCCTTTCTGAAGCGCTGCACACATGGGATCGCTCTGAGCACATCTGTGTTGCAGTGGGACTGATGTTCTGAAGGCCATGTGGTTATTTTGAAGCTCAAGTTGTTAAAAGACAATATATTGTTTCAGTATCCATGATTTTAACAGACATGAAGTCAGGGTGTCCGCAGCTGATTACCTTATGATGGAATATGCCATTGGCCTGAGGTCAGGCTGCACTGTATGGCGCTAACAATGGCCAGCCTGGTCCTGATGGAGCTGACCTGGTGATCTGATGATGGCAAACCCCAAACAGAGCTGTGGGTGGAGGAGAGGTCATGACCACAAAGAAGGCAGTGTGAAGAGTGATTACTAATGTAGATGTCAGAACTGAGATCATCAGACTTTATGAAACTCACAACAAAGTTAACTTGATATTTCATGTAAATCTTTCTTAAATTCATAACAGGATAAAATCCTTACTTGGTTCAACAATGACACTGCTGTCAGCTGGAATAGTACAATAGCACATGCTGTATTGCCAGTTTTGAATGCATTTGGCTACGGATGCATTTTCTGTTGCCCTGAGTGTTCTCTCTGTTCCAGTAAAGGTGATGATGGTGATGAAAACTACGGGAACCTTTTTCTGACAAATCATTTGGTTCTGAATTTCTTACACAGGTGGATCTCATGATATGTAAAGTGGGCAGTGGTGTGGTTGTCCATACTGCTGACTCAGAGCAAGAAGATTCTGGGTTTTGCTCCATTCTCCATGCCCTCTCTGTGCCGAGTGGTGCATGGATTCTCTCCGTCTTCCTCCAGCAGTCCAAAGACATGCATGAGTTTGGTTAATCGGTGATCCCCCCCACTTAGAATAAATGGATGGTAGGAAAGAAGTCTCAAAGGAATTGGATTGAGCAGCCAGAACACAATGACAAAAATATAATTGTTCTCTACAACCTAAAATCGTCTTTAAAATATGGGAAACGGGGATATGTCATCTAACTGAAACAGTCACTTCCTGCACTTTGTATTTTGTCTCAGACATCGATTAAAATATATACTTTAAAATAAATAATTAACTTAATTTTACTTTGAGATCTTCCTGCTTTTGTTTTGAACATCATACTAACAGTGCTTTCAAACACAGAGTAACTAGTGCATTTGGCAAACTAGTAGCTTAACCATGAAACGAGATATATATTACTAATTGCTACTTTTTTAAAATGAGAAAATTTGACTCGGACACAGAATCCAACAGTCAATTTATGAATTTATTAAAAAAAAAAAAAAAAACGTTGGAGATGCCGGGGATTGAACCCGGGGCCTCATACATGCAAAGCATGCGCTCTACCACTGAGCTACATCCCCACACGAGCGGAAGTCCACACCGTAGCCTATATAAACATGGCACGTTTCGCACTATTATACTCTCAACGTAAGCATAGATTGTCAGTGGCAACATTCCGTACCGTCACTTAGAAGGACTTACACAGGCTACCTTGAAGCACACGTTTCCTTAACCATACTGCGAACTACGAAACACGTGACACTAAAAATGTGCTGCCTACTAAAACTTGGGCTAAGGTTTATTTCTCATGCTAAACCTGAAATATTACATAAAGAGATAGTAAGACTTTCGATTGCTACTATTTATTTTATTGTTCTGTGGGTTCCTGTCATAGACCGGTTCGCCCGAGGCTGTGAACGCCATGACACGGCCAGCAGGTGTCGCTGTTGGCCGTGCGTGCCTACAACACGTCAGATTGTGCTCTCGGAGAATTTCACAGCGTTTTGTCAGGAACTGTCATCATGCGACCGTGTAACAAAGTTTTCAACATGCGGAAAAGCATGAAAGCGGACACGCGTAGATGCTTGGCTTTGACGTAGGCTAGAATCACAGTTGTGACCAGACACTAAGCGTTTCTTCTAACTTACCTGCATTTACCTGGTCCGCTCACATCCACCTGTTGTCCCATCGGCGGCAAGTAGGCACACAAAGACGGTGGGACTGTGAGTGAGGAATGAGATGAGGTTTTACCCCTATAAGTTAGCATGTCTCTTGGCGTTCGGGTGTTTTGTGTCGGTTACTTGGATTAAATCGATTCCCAGTGATGAAGGTGAGTGTACCTGCTTTTACTTTTCACATGCTGACGGAAACTTTATACTCATCTGCTGTTTATTCTCATGGAAACAGAAAATACCGCAGGGTTAAAGTTCGCGTCACAGCGTAGCATGAGCAACTTTTACATTTTTATGTTTTTAAATTATTTATTTATTTTTACAAATTATTAGCATAACCATCTCGATCGTCGGGCGACGGTCTCTCTGTATACAACACTCTGTTTCACATGGAGTACAAACGTCTTATTGAAGAGGCTGTGGGAAATGTTGTTTCCTAAGAAAATATAAATATAAAGTCTTTCCCTAACGTCATAACATCACCGTGTGAGTTTTAGTAGTAAGCCAACACACCCACCATCTCGGCCTGCCGACCTGCTCCATTACTAACAGCGAGGTATTCAAGGAACAAACGCTTTCTGCTGTTGCTTTTTCACTCTGTTCTTCTCATTCCGAGCTCTTGTATTTTTATTGCGCATGACTTTGTTTATCTTTTAGGTACAAATACTTATTTTACTGGTAAACAGAAGGGAGTAAAATGTCTGTGAAGGTTCTCAGTCATCCAGGTCATCCTAGTCAAAGGAGCTTACAAAGAAAAGCATCTGGACTTCTTTAAGTTGCTTGAAGACGTTTCACCTCTCATCCGAGAAGCTTCTTCAGTTCTAAGGTCAAATGGTGGAGAGTCCCAGATATAAACCT